CAAGTCAATGAGTGGCCAGATGCAGATGATGAGGAAAATAATGTGAGGCTATTAAAAGCATGGTTTGTTCAAAAGGTTTGCATTTGTTAGTGGATTCACACATTTTTGCATCTCAGATGGTGTAAATCTTAACTATAGCAGTGTTGACTTTATTTTTCTTAATGTATATTTGTGAAAAAGCATTTCAGTATATACAACCTTGGAAATAGTTATTTGGACTTACATTAAAGGTGTGAAAAAAAAACAACAACCCAGCAAATCCCTCAAGTTGACGCATTCATACATTACCTGAAGTGTGATATTTTATTCAACAGTTACGGATATAGAAATCCTTAACGGCTTTTTCCCTCTTAGTAAAAAAAGAAATTCTTTATATTTCTAATTTGATGGTATTCATAATTAGTGGTGCAGCAGTGATATTCCAGTTCAGTGAACTGTGCCTTCACACATCAGAAAGTTGAATGTGTTTGGCTCCATTTCAGCCTGGCTCAGTGTAAACTCTCCAACTCAGCAGATACACGCGCATAAACACAAGTGTGTAATTAATGTGTTCTGTGGAGAAGTTTTGTGTTCAAAGAGGCACCGAGTTCTCCTTTCCTTAATTATGTTGTCTTGTGCCTCGGCGGACAGTTGCATTTATTTATGTTGAATTATTTGTTTGGTTAATTGGACCCCTGCATGCTCCATTCCAAACAAGGCAGAGCCATTGGGGAAATATTTTATTCCGTTTGATCTGATGTCTTCATTCTGCCTATTTATTGCTGTGGTTCCAGAAAGTCCATGTTTGACAGAACAAATAAACTCTATTTAGGTTAAGCATCATTTTGGATTTTCTCCAACTGAGAGGAGAATTAGTAGCAGGTCATCCCAAGATTTTTATTATGTCGCTCTTTATTCCCACCTACAGGTAGGACTGAGGAAAGGACATTATAAAAAACTGTGGAAAAAGTCACGGTGTGTGACGATTGGTGACATCTAGTGGTAATGCTAATCTGTACAATATTTTCCAAAAGTCATACTATAGTAGTTTATGCATAGCGCTAAAAAAGTACTCACACTTACAACTCCAACTTTCTCCATTGGACCTGTGGAACATTTTATCGTTGAATCGTCATATGATTATTGTCAACTATATGATAATAAAGGAGACATTTTTTTATTGTTATATGTCATTATGTTTATTGTCATAATGAATTTAGCTCTTAACATAAATGTATGCAAGGCTGAGAAAATCACAGGGTACATGTAGCTGTAATCACAATTAATCATGATTAACTGAATTAAATAAACAATCCTAATGGAATTACGGTTTCTTTAATGTATTTTTCTATATACTTAGAACAAAAAGACAAATAACAGTAGTTAGATGTGTGGTTTTACACCTTTCTAATAGATAAATGCAACAAAAATGTGCAAATCTATAACTCAGTCATTCGTTTCAGTGTGGTTTACATCTTGACGCTGCCCTATAACATGAGTCAGGAGTTATTCTGGATATGTCAGTGAAGTACACCTCTTCAACAATATTAATGAGTTTACAGTCTATTACTGTCAGTTTAATAATTGTGTCAGTCACGGTGTCAGTGTCCTGTACTCTGTGAAGCTGCTTAAATGCAAGACGGCATCTGACCTGAGGGTGGAGCCCCAACAAACACAAACTGGGAGTTGAGATTATGTTTGAAACAAAAACAGTTTCTGGCTTTGTATAAATTACAAAATGTGTGTTGACTGTGTAATATTTCAGGTTTACTCTTAACTTTCAGATATTCTGCGTGAATACAAATAATTATTTTGGTTCAGTGAATGAAAAGTGCTTCATTTATTTCGTTCAGCAAAAAAGTGATGCTACAAAAGCTGTTGTACATTGACACAGATGTATGTGTATGTGTGTCCGCGCGCATGTCTGCAAAGCAGCTTCCTGCTTAAATAACCTGCATGAGTGCTGCTGCCAAACCCCCTGCACTTAACCAGAAAATAAACAAATAACAATTAAGCGTCATACCTCCCCTCCCCCCACAGGTCCTTGACCCTGTAATCCTGTAGCATTTAGGGGGGAAGGGGAGATGATGGGTGGCGCTCTGTAACCGCTTTGTCTCATTTGCAGACTATGTCTTTGAGAAGGAACTGGAAACGATCTAGTAAGGTAAACTAATCCAGCATGTGACCCTTCCACCCACTGACCCACCCACCCACATACAAACCTTTTTTTTTTCAACTGTACTGTAACCTCACCACCTCAACACCTCACCTCATCTACACTTTTCACTGATTTCCTGGTACATGGATGGAGTTTCACCGTCCCCCACTTTGCTTCCTGTCTTTATTCCTTCATTTTCCTCCTTACACTTTTGGTATTAGAGTTGTTTTTTATTTTATTTTCCTGATGAGTTCAGTAGTTTTCATCGTTAAACACTATTTTCCACAAGCTGCAATACACCACTTCCTCCCAACGCTTGAACGGAACAGTTTCTTTAGGGTTGACTCACACCTATGTGAAAGCAGAAATGATGTAATTTGTATTATGAAAATCAAGTGCTTCTACATTTTGTCTTGGTCTGTATTTTACAACTCACTCAATAATGAGGAATCTGTAATGCCGTTTGATGACTTTTATTATTTATTCTTATGCTTTTGTGCAAAATGCTTCCCCTCAGCTTGAGCTTTATTGAGCTTCACCTTTAACCTGTATTATGTATTGCAGCTACTTTGTGAGAAAATAAGAATTTACTTGTTTGTTTTAGGGGCTTTCAAAGATGTCCTGTAAAATCAATCTCTCTGTGAATTTGTTACTCCATTGGAGGATACTCTTGGAAAAACCCTGTTAATCAAGTAAATGCTTAGTTCTTATTTTTCCATCTTGTCATGTATGAGCGACTGCTGCCTTTTTTTTGGTGATTTGTGATGGCTGTCAGATTGAAAGAAGGCATGTTGGTTGAGAAACTGTGCTTCTTATTTCTTAATGCATGAAGCTCCCGTCATTATTATTTATTACGATTGTTATTACCAAAATTTAAGCCTCACTTTTACATGCACACTGCTGTTTATTGGAGGCTGGAAATCAGGTATTTCTTACTATTGTCACTGATGAGGAAACAAAACAATGTCAGTAAACTTTCCTCAACTAGTTAGCAAGCTTCCTAAATTGCTAAGAATGATTTCTCAACCAACAGTGAAAAGTTTTGATATACACCCAGAGACACAGACGAACATTTGAAGTGCGCTCTGTTGGTTCCGGGCAGGCGTCCCGCTGTATTGTGCTTCCCCAACCGAGCCTTTGAAGCCTGCTAACTGGGCCAGCCCGTCTGTGGCTCGGGAATTCACACAACTCACACAACGTTAAGTCCTTTGCTACCGTGCAACACCAACCCCTAAAAAAGGTGCTGCCTCGAAGTTTTTACTTGGCTCAGTGTTGAGTATTTTTACACAAATACATAATTTTAATGAAGCATATGTGAGAACGGTAGGAGATGGGGGGAGAAAAAAAATCAGTCTTAAATGTTTTCCATTTAGAGCACTGCAGTGTACCATAAGACTGAAAAAGCTCAGTTGTGCTAGCTTAAATATTCTTCTTCATGCAAATGGATGGCAAAAGTTGAACTATGTGCAAAAACTTTTAACACTTAACATTAATATCTGTGAAACTTTAGCCAGCAAACATCTGAGTGCATGTCTCTCCCTGCTGCGCTCAGAGGATGTGGACTTCGAAATCAAATAGCCCATGGTCTTCTGTAAGGAAGAACTATGGAGCGAGAAAACAAGGAAACAATTAGGATAATGCTTGAGCAAGACGTAAAGGCAACCTCTCATCATTAGCATACAGTGTGAACAGGAGAAATGAAAGCGTTTGGCTGTATTTCAGGGAGCCATTCGCATTGTTTAATGTCTGCAGAATGGAAATTAAGAGGCTGCGTTTCCAGATCAAAGGGCTGCACTCGCAACAAAGGGTTTGTTCAGAGTTTAATGAAATTCACCCGCAAAACAAAAGCTATGCTAATAAATTCTCTTTAACGAGGACGCAGGAGAGAAAAAGGCAACGCAAGTAATAGAGGAAAAGAAGAAAAGACAAGGTGTATTTGTTTGACAAATAAATTCACTGCTCTTTGTTTTTCAGTGCAGGATCCTGGCATGATTCAAAGAAAGGTCAAAGAGACTGAGGGAAAAGTTGGTGGAGGATATGAGGGTTAAAATATGGATAACTATCAGTCCGAATGTGCAGAGCTGTCAAACTGCAACAGATGGAATGAAAAAGTTAGAATTAGAATTTACAGCAGATTCCTGCTCTCCCTGGGTTGGAAAATGACGTTGAATCACTTTCAATATGTTTTGCCCTGAATTGGAAGCTTGTACGAAACACTGACTAGAACAAAGAGAACAACCAATTTGTACATATGTGAAGAAGTCAATGCAATTTCTGAATTTGCAATTAAAAGCACTTGACCTTTAACTATAAACAGTTAAAAAGGTCCTTAGTGCTTCCTATACTAACTTTATTTATGAAACAAATGTTGCTGAGGCCATTGGTTGATGCTCCTTTTATTTCCAGTTTTGTAGGTTTATCCGTGTTTCGGCTCCTCTTCGTCTTCTGTGTTATTGTTATCACTGTTGACCAAGAGTACATACAATCACCTTTCTTCATGGTCACAAATTAATGCAGACGTCTGTATATGTTTCTGTCAATTTGTATTCTTTTGTGTAAATGGTTATATTAAAATGCATGTGTACATGTTGAAATAAAATGTTGTTTTTTTCAAATCGCTCTGTGTTTGTGTGTGTCTGTGTTTGCTGCCTGCTGCAGAATCAGAGTATGCGTCTGTCGGATGTGCACAGAAAAGCCCAGCTGTGGCGTGGTATTGTCAGCATCAGTCTGATAGAAGGGCGTGGGATGCAGCCCATGGATGCCAATGGGCTCAGTGACCCGTATGTGAAATTCAGAATGGGACACCAGAAATACAAGAGCAAGGTAAACATCTCCTGGATAAGATAAACTTTGATTTATATATGTGTATACATCAAATACAAAATAAATGTGATGGTTACTGTGATGACAGTTTTGTGGGCTATATTAGGGCTGTCAATCAATTTTAATGTTAAATTTATTAAGCTCAGGGCAGCTTTGGATTAATCACATTATATATATATATATATAATATAATAGAAATTATGTGATAAATCGGTGACTATAATGTATTTCCAAGTATATAGAAATTATTATTGTGATTGACTATTTACTTACCTCGGTAAGTAATGATCATTTGCAAAGGATTCATTAACCACTGAACACAACTACAAATATTGGATTCACATTTGTTTCCTCAGACCATGCCTAAAACACTGAACCCTCAGTGGAGGGAGCAGTTTGATTTCCACATGTATGAGGAGCAAGGAGGCTATGTGGACATCACCGTCTGGGACAAAGATGCGGGCAAGAAAGATGACTTCATGGGAAGGTAGAGTCATTTTTATTCATCTGTTACATGGAAACCACACTTATGTTCAGTCTGGGAAGGTAAAAAAGGTACTTGTTTCTACTTATTAATGATTAAAATAAAAATATAAATCAACAAAAAACCTTCTGACATAATGGAAGTTTTGTATTTTCTGCTTTCATATACAGGGTGGGCAGTTGTGTTGCTTTCACCGAGTCAACACCGCTGTATAACTGTACATCTGTGTGTGTGTGTGTGTGTCTGCATGTGTGTGTGTGTGCGTGCGTGCATGCGTGCGTGGGTGGGTGTGGGTGTGTGTGATCTGCAGGTGTACAATTGACCTGTCGCTGCTCAGTAAAGAACAAACACACAAGCTGGAGCTGCCACTGGAGGAGGGCGAGGGTCTGCTGGTGCTGCTGGTGGCCCTCACGGCCTCTGCTGCTGTTTCCATATCTGACCTGTCAATTAACATGTTGGACGACCCTCACGAGAGACACCAGATAATGCAGAGATATGTAAGTGTTTCTCATTTTCAAAATGGCCATTAACCTAAAATGTAGCATCCTAAACTCTATAGTAATAGGGTTGCATCTCCTTCCAATTCATACTGTAATTTATATATGTTTATAACATATATTATTTATCTCCATTAATCATAATGAATGGAGATAAATAATATAATACTTCCTATTTAGTTTGTGTTTACCTTGTCTTTGTCTTGAAGGAAAATTATAATTTGACACCGCTGTACAAATACCTGTTCTCTGCAGCAGTGTATCAACCGAATCAGAGTACAAGCCATATTAGATTTGCATCAGTCATCAAATGACCAATAGCCTCAGTGATGCTCACCTTTATACAGTTATTCCGTCAGTCATTAGTGAGGTCAACAGTTATGTGTTGAAGATAAACTCATCACGTCTAAAACCTGCTAAATCTGAGGCTGATTTTTTTCATTCCATCTATCCATCCATCCATCCATTTTCATACACTTATCCGTTACCGGGTCACGGGGGCAGCAGTCTCCATGACCGCCACCCAAATCACACTCCACCGCACCAGCCCCCTACACTTCCTGCAGGTGGTGAGTCCACTGGAAGAGTTTCATTACATATTTTTCTGTTTTTCTAACTTTCCCTAGTCAATAAGTAAAAAAGGACATGGTCTCTAAATTTAGCGATTGTTTTCAGGTCCATCTGTCAACTTACTCTGAAGTGCTTTAAACTTGTTTTTTTACATACTGATGGCAGAGATTTAAGTGTTTATTCTAACAATTACTCTAGTATTGTACAGTTTGTACAATTCCTCACTTCACTTTTCTGATACTTGTTATATTTAAGTGGCAGTCTATGTTGCTAATTACTTTATTAAAGTACTAAAGTGATTTTTTTTAATACAGCTGTGCTCAAAGCATGTGAAACTTTGACTCTTTCTTGTCACAATATGTTCAAATGACATCAGGTTTCTTTGTCTCTTTACTTCAATGTGAATGATTAGTTTTGACTACAGTTTGATCAAGCTTAAGTAAGCCTTCATTTTTCTTTGACCAGGACCAAGTTCTTTTTTTTTACCTAATGTGTAATTCTGTCATTTCAATTTGTAAATGAAGAGCAGAAATGCAAGGACTGTTCAAGAAAAACACAAAACAAAAAAAGAACCTGAGAGAGATGAGAGGTCATGGGAGGTGAGGAGGAACTCACATGTCTGTCTCAGGCAGAGTTGTTTGGATGGAACAGCTGTTAATGTATGCAGGCTCACATCGCTGTTTTGTTTCCATCTCCATGATTCACACCACAACTATTATGTGGCGTGTGTGTGTGTGTGTGTGTGTGTGTATGAAGAGGATTTTATTAGTGAACACTGCTTATTTGTTTAAGTGTAAATGAGCTTGTTAGCCAGTTGTGACTGATTTGAGAGAGAAGGAGTGAGCCCTAAGGCCCCATCTGTTCCAGAGACCCTCCACTCAACACAATGCTTTCAGCCTTTGCCTTTGTCTTAGCCTCGTTAACCCTTCACACCCTCGTCATCCTCGCTGCTGCCGCACAGACACTCCAGTACGACTCTCTCACACACACACCCGCACAACTGCAGATGCTCTCAATAGATTTCATTCACTGACAGCCTTGACATTTCTTTGCATGTCAACAAATTCTCTGTGGTGCTAGTGCTAAATGCTGCAGAGAAGTTTGACACATTTTTCATAGAAAAATTATATTTTGTTCATTTATAGTTTTATGTTTAAAAAAACAAACAAAAAAATGTTGTTGTGCAACTTTTATTTGGTTCAGTTGTTTTGTTAATTTTTTTTTAATACAACTACTTTGTCAACAGTGTGTGTGGCTCCTTCCATCTACAGTAAATAGCTTTTGGTTTGTTCCTGAGAGCCTGTAGGATTATCTTAGTTGTTTCTTTAGTGAAATCACAACTTCTTACGGGGGAAGCTACGCAGTCCACAGGTCACGGGTGACACAATCCACACACCCGTGCTGGTGTATTATTGGCTGAAGCTGCAGGAGGTCGATCTGTGTTCCTGCACGTTGCAGCAACAGAAGAACATCAGAGGGGGGAGCTCTAAGACCGAGACATGCACACTCCTCTTCTCACGAAATGACAACAGGGAACGTAGGTGTATGTGTGTGTAATAGGGGGCGAGAGGTAAAGGGTGAGGGTTGCACTGGCAGGGGAAGGCGTGTAAAATGAAAAGAAAAAGCTATTTCACCTCTCACACAACTCATACAGACCCCGTTTTTCTGCTCAGCTGAAGCCAAAACATTTCCCTTTCTGCGCCTGCCACTTTCCCTGTCCTTCTCCTCCACCCAGCACCTCAGTCCGGCTCGTCGTCATCCTCGGCTTTTTCCTCTGTCACTGCCGTGGCCCTCCTGTTAAATGAAGGGATGAAGAGATAGAGAATGGAGGAAGGTGAGGGGGTTTGGAAAATGGAGGGGCATGCTGAGGTCGTCTTGAAGACTTGAATGCTCTATATTAAAATTGGATGGGCTGTCTCTCTTCAGAATTCAGTGAATTCAGTGAAGATGTACTTTATAAAAAAAGTACTGATAAAACCAAGAACCATGGCTGTTCATTCCAGCACTGCTTAAAATCCAGTAGTGGGTCTCTGTTAGTTGTTTTGTGTCAGCAGCATATAGGCTGCTGTGTTGAGTCATCATGTTTGGATAGTGGTAGAAGTTTAAAAAATTCAAATGTTTTTTTTAGCCTTATGTTTCATTTGAGGCCAGTTTTAATAAAAAAATAAATAAATAAAAAAAAAACCACACTGCTCCCCTTAAGCTGCCCACTGTTCACTTTGGTGGTAGGTTAAAAGCAGAGGTCGCATTTCGTTGTGTGCAGTGGTGTGCAAATAGAACAAATAGTTCACTTTACTTCACTTATACCTTCACATGTAAAAATGTCTACTTTTAATTCTGATTCTGTCAGTTCCCAATTGAGAAGCTTTGCGCTTAAAAAATAATGTAAACATATCAACTGTGAAAAATCGAAGTAATAATGTCAAATCAAATGCACCCTAACCCCAACCCTGCTCTCCCCCCAAACTTCAACCATAATTCAACGAGAAGAGAAACAAAGTATAGACTGTTTTTGAGTTACAGACAACTTCTTCTATGACCTAATAAACAAATGACCTCAACATGGAATTATAGTTCTTGAATTCTTGACTGGCCAGCTTGCGTCCTCGATTTAGTTTCTAGCAGTCCATTTCTTAATAAGTTAATGATGAATCAGGAGAAACACAAAAATATTTCCTTGCTTATTTGCCTCAGCACTAAGTACTACACGTACTATGGAGCCTTCCCGTCACAGAGATTTAAAACAGTTCAGCACGCTCCTCTGTCCCCTTCCATTCTCCAAACACTAATGAACCTCAGCAGAACACAACAACACACCTCATGGTCTCTGTCCATATGCTGTCTACATTTATTAGGTTCTGTGTCCAGGATGCATTCATGTAGAACAGTGTTTTCTTTTTTTTTTTTTTTCTTTTTTTTGCTGTAGTCCACTTTGAATGCAGCGGATGCCGCTGCCGCATGCAACATAGTGCAATGCATCCACTCAGTGATGACTGTCTTAGATGTACTATTGCTCACTGTAACCTTTCTTTCATCCCTAATTACTGTTTCCCAGAAGTGCAGAGGGACAGAGGTAAAAGGGAAAAGACGGAGATTTATGCATTATGATGGCAAAGGAGCACACACACTAATGGCTCTTAATGGGACTGAGGTGGTACTGAGATGGGTGGAAAAGAGAAAGAAGGACGTGGTGACCTCCACTGAAATGGTGGGGCTTTTTAGCAGCTACTCCCATGTCATGTTACATACAGCACACAAGTGCAGTAAGTAAGTCTCCCACATGCTTAAGCACTGCTGTAGATGATGGAAGGAATACAACTAGAACAGGGGAAAAGATCCTGCAGTCACAAAATGAAAGGGATGTGGAGAAAGTTTTACAGTGTCTCTTGACAGTAGATACTAAGTTAGAAAGTTGAGGTTTGATTTTCACATTTACTGTCATTTGACTGCATCTGCCCCTAAAGGAAACTGAACGCTCTGTCTTTGTGTGTATTGTGTGTCACATTGTTATTTGCGTGGCTGATGAAAGGTGACACAAAGCAAAGATGACAGTGAGTCACAGAGCCTTACCGGAGCTGATTCATTTGCGTGTTTGTGTGTTTGTGCAGTTAAAAAGAGACGGAAAAGAAGACATCATGGTGACAAGATGTCAATCATTGATAGGACAGGAGGTTGTCTTGTTAAAGCTGTCTCTGTCCGTCCCATTTTTTTCCCTTTCTCTCCCTGTTTTCATGCCTTCTTTTCATCTCCTTATGCACATCATTCCACCTGCTTGCCGGTGGGGGTGTGCACAGATGTAAAATGAGGGTTGGGGGGTTGTTCTTGGCCTCGCTTCATCTCTACCTGTCTGTCTTTCTGTCCAGTCTATCTATCGCTGTCTAACTTAAGGGGATTTGAATCCTGGTGGAGGCAGGGTAGGTATCCTTCTCCTTGCCCTCCTCCTCCTCCTCCAATCATGGATGGAGGCTGAACCCTAAATGTCCCCTCAGGGAGAGACTATGGAAGAAGGGATAAAGAGTGTGGAATGAGTGGTGGGGGCTGCAGAAAAATTATCTCTGCATCTATTTATTAAAGAAGTAAATCTTGATATTTTCTCTGTTTGATCTCCTGGATGGGGTCTTTTGGGGATTGTCCCGTAATGTATATGATATTCATTTGATGAATCTGCACTAATACAAGACAAATTACTTCAATATACACCCTGGTAAAAGTCAGAGCTGCAGCATCAACTCTCTTCTTAAATTAGGAATATTTTAAATAAAAACATCATAAATGCTCATCAGTTGCATCAGAAATGTTATATCTTTATATTGGATTGGATGGTAGTATGTTGTACTTGGTTTTAGTCTGATGGCATGTTCTGGTATGAAAGACTAATAACATGGTCAGCTGCCATCTCATCCTATGGTGCATCCCTCCTGGCCTGTCTTTGACTCTCCTCTCTTCTCCCTTCCATGTGCTCTTTCTAAATAATCACAACAAGCAGCTGTATCTTCAGAGGAATCGTGCCTCAAGACCGAGAGTTGTCCTCTCTCTCTCTTTCTCTCTCTCTCTCTCCTGCTTTTCCTCTCTCACTGTACGTCTCTCTTTCTCACATACTCATTTCTCTCTCTCTCTCTCTCTCTCTCTCTCTCTCTCTCTCTCTCTTTCTCCCCTTTTTCTTTCACGCACTCTCCCCTCTGCTCTCCTTTAGAGAGCTTTTGGACAATGATATCGCAGGAAACAGGCAGAGTCTGACAGAGTTGGTAATAATGAATTAAGTCTGTAGCCTGGCCCTGACTCTGAAATTTAAATTATAATTACTCCTGTGGGGATGGAAGGGGTTATTGCCAGGGAGAGGGAAATAAATTGAAGTGAAGTGCATTTCCACTCTGCTTTTAAGACATGCCGACATGCTACTCAATTTGGCCTCAGTGTAGCTTTTTCTATGCATGTGTTTATACCTGAGTGTTTGGGCATGAACAAAAAGAGTGTGTGTTTGCGTGTGTGTGTGTGTTTGTGCGCACGCGCGTGTGTGTGTGTGTGTGTGTGTCAGAGTGCATGCCTCACGGCCCACTTCTCCACAGGTCTCCACGTTATTCCTCACATTTATAAACAGGGTCTTGTCATTTTTTTTTCCCTGAACATTATAAGCCTACACACACCGTGTTTTTTTGTAAATCACAACTCCTGACTGTGTATGTAAATATGTTTGTATGCCATGTAAAGCATGCATGAGGAGAAGAATGTCAAGTGGGAATTTGTAATTTTTTTATTCGGGGGCTGAGCTAGTGTGTCTGCCTTTTTGTTTTACAGTCGATGTGCTGCATGTTTGTTATTAAGGTCTTGTTGCAACTAGATAAGGGGTGGGTATGTGTCTCTGTGTGTGTGTGTGTGTGTGTGGTTCTCTGGTTGTCTTTGCCACATAATCATTGCCAGTTCTACTTCACTTGATGTGTGTACTCGGTGCAGTTTGTTAATTACATTATCAGTCCAATACTAATACTGTCCTCTTCTATAAAGCCTACACATTCATATCATTAAGATTATGTCACATGCAAGTTTTGATACAAACTTTTTTCTTAAAAAAAATGCCATCACTTTTCATTGCTTTCTAACACTCTGAATATACTTATAAAAAAGAGAGACATGAAAAAAATCATATTTTTGTGATTTGCATGAATTAACCATTAAATATTTTTTATTATTATGAAAGTCATTGTACAAAATACTAATAAATTAGTATTTTGTACAATGACTTTCATTCTGCCAATTTCTCGTGGCTTTTGTTAAGTGGTGTAAGAACATACACCACTTAACAAAAGCCACTGAGCAGTTACATGTACTATTTTCTTTTTCGTCATATTTTTCTTTTGGCTTTTGGTGATTTTACTCAGTGGAAAAGTTAATGGAAAGTCACAAGAAAGAAACACTCTGGACCAGAGATCAGTGTAAAGCCTTAAAAACTGGCTTCATCACTTTCAGTTACCCTGTTGTACTAAACATATCATAGCTTTGAAATTGGCTCTTACCATTATTGACTTGTTATGTATTATTTTTCTTCTATTTATTTATCCTGTATGACTCTTTACAGTATTTTTTTACACTCATCCCTTTTATCCGATTTAATAAAAATTCCATTTTATGGCAGAAGAACAAAGTTGGAAAATGTGTTTAATTGGCACGGACAGCTATTCAGTGAAATTAAATTTGCCCATTTGTCTCCGACTATAAATGCCAGCACTACATTTTCAAATGGGACCACTAAAGGACATATCCTACCCTTTCTTCTCTTAATGAAATGTCAGGCTATTGACCTGTCTTTCTTCTGAGATGCTAATTTGCCACCCTCTTTGACCTCTTACCACTGTTGGTGTGATGTTTCAGAGCCTGTGGAGGTCGTTTCACAATTTGAAAGATGTCGGCGTGGTGCAGGTAAAGGTCATCAGAGCTGAGGGACTGATGGCGGCAGATGTCACAGGTGAGTTGCCGACCCCAAATTCAGACAACAGGGGCTGTGACCCCTGCATTTGTCAGACACATTGTCAGAAGTTACTCCTCTAAGTTCACACACTTAAAAGTCATGCAACAAAGACATGAATCCTTGTTATTTTTAGGCTCTTTGTTGCAATTTCCTTCACAAATTAACAGCACTTAAGCATCCAATCAATCATGCTATTAATTAAAGTTTTTTTTTTTCTTAAAATAACCATTCCTGAGGTTATGTTTTGTTAGACTTTGAGTGATTCCTATGCTGTGTTTTTCTGCACCAATCTGCCATTAATCTAGCCAAAGATAATGTCAGGGTGTAAATTTGGTGTAAGCGATGATTCTCGGCAAGCATCCTCAGAGAGAGTTAAATTCTGTTTTGTGCAGGTCACTAAATTTGTCTCTACATTTTTAGCAAAAGATGCGGGCTGCTCATTTGAATAATAGAGAAAAACTACACATTTGAACCAACAA